TCTCTCTCCCTCTCTCTTTCCCATATTCCCCAAAATACCAAAAAAGTGAGAGAAAAGTACAAAAAAGTTAGCAGCTTCTCTCACAACCCAGCTCCACCTCCCCGCCTTCACGATGAGGCCGAATTCCCAAGACCTCCGGGAAAATGGTTATCACGATGCCCTGCTGCCTTTTGTCTCTTCATCTCTAATTGCCTCGCCACCAACAGCGCCTGCAGCACCAGCCCCAGTAACAGCACAACCTGCAGCTGCATCTACATCAGAAGCACCAACTTGGGCCACGCAGGCAGTAGATCAGATGATGGCCACGGTGCAGCAGCAGAATACCTTCCGATTTCAATTACAAGAAAGGATGTTCGCACTCCACCCGGGTCAGCAATGGCATCTCCAATCTGTAATGGATCTTATGAATAATAAGATGACAAATGGTGGCTCAAAATGACTATGCATATAACTTATAATTTTGAAAATGTGAAGAAATATTAGTCTTCTTTGTAGGAGTAATGATGTATCTTCCGTAAGGTGAGGCTTTTATTGTATATTTGATTTCGGCTGCGGGACATCTTAATCAGTGTAAGTTCAGCCATTTTGGCAAATGTTCAGATATATTTCACTGGCCATTGCTGGGCTTGCTGAGTATTCTGAAATAAACTGCAAGCCCAGCGAATTCTCTCTCTCCCTATCTCTTCCTGGCTCTCTCTTTTTTTCTCTCTCTCTATCTGGCTCTTATCACACACACACACAACACACACACACACCACACACACACACACCACACACACACACACACACACACACACCACAACATACGAGGTAGATGTAACTAGGTAGCCCCACTTCCACTAGACTGTCGAATCCAAAACTAAAATTAACATTTTCCCCGAGTATTCTGACGACTGTTAATGTCAAGGAACTCTTCCTTATCACAAATAAAAAAGTGGGATTTTTGTTTTACTTTTGGTAATCATAAGGCTGCGTCCACACCAGTGACATGTTGCTTGGATACAAATTGGAAACATTGTCACAATAGGTAGAGAAATGTATGGGAACACATGTTGGTAATAAGAGTCGACTTGGTGAAACTGTCCCCACCATGTTGGTCTGTCGGTTGGTGGGAGGTCACTGGCAACACCGCGTCCACACTCCACGCCAGGACTGCCAACATGTCGCCCAACAAATCCGAACCAACATGTCTACGATATTCCTCAACGACTTAACAGCTTGTTACCCAACTTGGCAGTCTTCGCGTTCCCTCCGTGTTTTGTCACTGGTGTGGACGCAGCCTAATAGCGTCGAGTCAATCATACAAATGATTATATATCTAGCTATGTCTGATATCTCACAGTTCGCTGTCATTGGCTAAACGTGATGACATCATTAGCTCCGCCCCTTTATTTGACTCGGTCAATCTATCCGATGTTTTATGGTAAACGATTTTCTTTGAAAATGGTTCAGTTATAGTGGTAGAAAATAAACGAAGCCAAGAAAACAAAAAACAACAAAAAAATGTATATAATCTGTCTATCTATTTATTTATAAACACACACACACATATATTACATTTATAAATATATATATATATATTATATATATATATATATATATATATATATATATATATATATATATATATGTGTGTGGTGTGTGTGGTGTGTGTGTGTGTGTGTGTGTGTGTGTGTGTGTGTGTGTGTGTGTGTGTGTGTGTGTAAATGTATATGTATGTGAGTGTGTGCATTATTTTTGCGTCAACTTCTGCATTATTCTGAAATTATACTTTCAATTATGCATATTCCACTCATATTTTTGTTACTTTTTGCATAGTTTCCGCATTTCTAAAAAAAACTTTCGCGAAGTTTAATGCAGACATGCTTTATTTATTTTTTTCGGCAAGTTTTGATGGTGAAGTGGATGCAAGAGGCAGAATTCTTCAGGATTTTTTTCTCGAAAATTTCCCACAGGAAATATATCGCTGCCTTCAGACATCCCCTCCCGCCCTTCCTCCCCCTCCCTCCCTTCCTCCTCTCGTTCTTCCCCTTCCCCCCTCCTCCCTTCCCTTCCTCCCTTCTCCCCAGCCCTCTTCTCCCCTCTCCTCCCTTCCCTCCTCCCCCTCCCTCCCCTCCTCCCTTCCGCTCTCCTCCTTTCTCTTTTTCTCTTCCTCTTTTATTCACGATGCCTTTTCCTTTTGACCATTTTCCCTCACTCCCTGCTTCCTCTTTTTTACTTTCTGCCTTCTCTGTTTCTTTTTTCTTTCTCTCTCCCTCTTCCACTTCTTTCTTCCCTTTCTTCCTTCTCCATTTCGTAGTTTTTACCCTTTCCCTCCACTCTCCATTCTCCTCTTTACCTTTTTTCCGTCTCACTCCTCTCTCTCCCTTCTCCTTTATCCCCTTCCCCTACCTCCTCTCTTCTTCCTCCCTTCCTCTATCCTCCTTTCCTTCCTCTGTTCTCCCCCCATATTTCCTTATTTTCTTATTTTCCCTCTCGCAACTCCACACCTCGCTCCACC